CCACGCTGTGCCGGGCCCAGCAGCAGCGTCAGGGCGTGCAGGGTGTGAGGCAGGACGGGCCCCAGAAGCTCCAGGCTGAACACGTCCTCAAAGCCCCCCTGCACCCGGGCACGGCCGCTGACAGTCCGAGCCTGAGGGCACAACACCGCGCTTAGCACCGCAGCCAGGACGAGTTCTCAGCAGCTCTGACACTGCCAGAGCCCACGGAAAACAGAAACACTTCTCAGTGTTGTCTACTCCCTGTGCAGTTGTACTGTCCCTGTAACAACTCCTAAAATGTACCCCCTGGCCCGCAGGAATGCTGAAGGGATTGGGAAGTGCAGAAGAACAGGATTAAGTTCTCTGCTGGAACAAGGAGCTCATCCTGTTCTTACTGGGAAGAAATTTGGGTTAAATACAGGGTAAGAATTCTTGGCTGTAGGGTGGGGAAGCCCTGGCACAGCTGTGGCTGCCCCTGGATGTATCCAAGGCCAGCTTGGATGAGGCTTGGAACAACCCGGGACAGTGAAAGCTGTCCCTGCCCATGGCAGGGGGTGGGACTGGGGTGATCCTGCAGGTCCCTCCCAGTCTGAACCATTCCTGGCAGGAACAGCTGATGAGCTGTGGCTCAGGGGCTCTGAGAGCCTGCACGATCTGGGGAGAATCTTAACAACCATTTTCCCTCTGGGCAGTTCTGCTCAGCCTCTTGTCTCTCGGGAAGTGAGGAAAGGGAACTCTGGGATGTCAGGTCAGTGCAGGGATGTGCTGTAAGGATTTAGGAACAGACCCTGCCTGCAGACAAAATGCTGACTCAGGCTTTAGCCACAGCAATCCCGCTGCGGTGCCTGAGGGAAACGCCAGCAAATCAGGGTCTGATCCCTGGGGAAGGAAACAGCTTCCTTCCCCTTCCTAGAGGCAGCCGTGCGTCCCTCACCTTGAGCGTCTGCAGGGTCCCGCCCCGGAAAGCCACCGGGGCCAGCAGCGTCGGGGGCAGCCCCGCCTGCGGCCCCGCCACGGCCACCAGGCTGCGGCAGCTGATCAGGAAGTTCAGCAGCGTGAAGGTGTTGCTGCCTCTCACCAGCACCAGCGACTCGGGTCTGTGATCCACCTGCACCTCCTGCTTCTCCTTGCGCCTGGGGAGCCGAGTCAAGGGAAAACCACGGCGCACTGGGAAGCATCCATGTGCCGAAAAGCTGGAGCAGTGAACCTCCCCACACCCCATCTGACCAAAATCCCCAAAAACAATCCCCACCAAGCTTTGCACTCATCCAGATCTGTTCTTCAAATATTAAGCAGCATCTAAATCCTGGCTTCAAATCCTAGAAATACTTGCAAAGTAAATGAAAAAAAAAAATAGAAAAATGCAGTATCTCAGAACATGCAGGAATGAGCAGATTCATATTTGGAAAACAGTTCTCAAGAACTTCTCCAGAACATAAATGTGTACCATTGTAAACATGTAGCATTGTAACAGCTGCAGGGTTTCCCGGTGTCACACATCTGGAGGATCAAAGGAAGGATACAGTTGGATAGAAATAGTATCCGGTTTCTTCACCTTGTCTTGGACTCCCATCTCCTCAAGCCAAGAGAAACTTCCATCATCATCATCATCGCTGGGAGCAGGTTCCCTGGAGACACAGATCAGTGTTAGGAGGGCAGTGCCTCTGAGGAAGGTTTTCCAAATGGGCTGTGCAGGAGCCTGGAGCGCCCTCGAATTCCAGCACCACACAACATCGGAACTTACCCCGCATCCTCCACAGTGCTGCCCTCGCCGAGGCCCGAGGCTGTTTCTGTTTCCAAACTCTCCGGGTTTTTCTGTTTCCTGGTTCTACTCTCCTCGAGCAAAGGTAAGGAGAACTCTATGCCTGGTGGGGAGGAATGGCAGCAGTGAAGGGCTCTGTCGCAGCCGTAGCTGTGCCGGTGCTGCAGCCCCAGCCTTACCCTCGCTCCTCATGGCCTCGCGGAGGCCGCGCGTGGTGGGGACGATGGCGGCGGTGGGGACGGCGCTGCCCGCCAGCCCCGCGGCGCGGAACAGCACCGAGAACTGCGCTGCACACACGTAGAAATAGGGACAGAGCCGGGCCCGCAGCAGGTTGTACAGAGAGGTGAAGCTCACGGACCTGGCAGTGGGAATAAACAGCGCTGTCAGGGCAGGCAGTTCTCCCCTACTGATGTGCTGGAAAGGGAACTGGGACAAGGGCTGCAGGGCCAGGAGCCAGGGAATGGCTGCCAGGGGCAGAGGGCAGGGCTGGATCTTGGGATCTTGGGCAGGAATTGTTCC